CCAGTTTTGCTCTCTGTACCCTTGCTGTATATAGTGAGAAGTAAGGTCGCAAACACATAAATATTAGAATACTGTCAAATTCCCAGCTTTAAAACAATGTTATTACAAGCTCAGCTACACTTGCTCAAATTTGAGAGCAGAGCATCCAAAGCTGCTTTATGCCTAGTGCAAATGTAGGCCAATAAATATTATGAGGACACATATGTAGCAAAACCCCCAGCCTGGTGGCTTTAATTCCACAGCATGGAAGACTGCAGCCAGACTGTCTGGTGTGGCAGGGATTAGGGGCTGATAACATCGAAGTCTGAGAGCAAAACCAGACTGGGGCTGCAGAGCACAGAGTGCCAGAGGGAAGGGGTGCTCTGAGTCAAGGAAACATCTGCTGTACCTGTGGCAGTCCCACGCTAGAGCCACTGGCCTCATTTCTGACTGAAAGGATCTGCAAAAGCTGAATGCTTTGAGTTAATGACACTGTGGTCAGGACTCAGAATGAGTATTTCAGATATTCAGTAGCATTACTGAAACCAGAATCTTGCCTGTTGTTTCTAACAGAAGTTATCCAGGAGGTGTAAAGGAGCTGTCCCAGTAGCTGCAGGCTCATGGTCTCTGGACAGTTCAGTTAACAGTGTCACAGTTTAATTGTGCTGCCCTTTGTGCCACTGCTGTGGTTCTCAGAGCCAACCACCTTCTAAAGAGACAAGAGGGCTCCCACATCCTGGGGGCAGTGCTGAAGAATGGCTTCCTAACACAATTCAGCTGCTTCCTAAAGTAGCTGAAATAGGGGAGCAAAATCAACCAACTCTGTTAATTCATAGGTCAGTTGCTGGGAGACAATGGGGAAGGGAAAAGGACTTTCCACTTTTGGCAAGATGCTAATTTGTCCTGTGTCTAATGGGAAGCTGCACCTCAGACCTTGTGCACAGACCAGGTGCTGCCTGCACTTTATACAAGTCTTTAGGATTTCCTCAAAATCCATGACTACCAAAGTGCAGAACATATGTTGCCATATTTGTCTCATATTACATGTACATACATGTTCCTAATTCGATACATCTACACCTGAATCCTCTTATCCCATGCAGAATTAGGGAAGGGCTCCAAAATGTGCTCGTAGAATGCAGCAGCCTGTGCATCACAGCAGGCTGCAGTCAAAGATGGTGATTAGTGGGTCACTTGTGCATATGTGCTGCTGTCACAGCAAATGCAGGCCAGGCCCACTGTGCCAGCTGGGCTCAGCAGATCAGCTCTGTAGCAGGTTCACTGAGCTGATATTGAAGTTTCGTGCACATTCATCCTTTTAGCCTCAGCTGAATACTCCTGCTCTATCTGGCAGAGTTCCTGAGGCAGAAGATGCTCTGGGAAATGTTATTCCTCAGGGCAGGCAGTATTTAGCACTTAATTTTTTATGTAACCAGAAAGCCTATGTCTTCAGTTTCTCTTTTACAAGAATATCCTTGTCTCAGATCTAAATTTATCTATGTTTTAAACCAAACTCAGTCACTGTTATGCAGTAGGTTTAATTCCCTACTCTTATGTGAAATTATTTCTGCTACGAATGCTGAACTGAGCCACTGAGGTTAGACAATGTTGCTTGTGCTAGAGAAATGAATCCCAGATCATGTTAAGTTTCCTGTACTATTATTTTGTGACCTGTTTCTTGTAAGCAATCTGCAAGCAATGCTGGAACTTCAGAAGTATTTTATCTACTTGGTTTTCTTAATTGAACAAGCACAAGAGTATTTATAGATGCTGACAGCAATGATGAGCTCAGTTTGAATCACTCCTTCCTAAGTGCTGGCAGTGTCTTTGATTCAGTGTACATCAGTGATAAACATAGTGCCTGAGTAGAGACACGGCCTCACTTTATAGTCCTGATCCATGTGGGTACATGTGGATCCCATCCAGAGCTGCAGTAAAGCTCACAGAGATCTGCAGGGGCCAATGTGGTGGCAGGCTGGGTGCTTGGAACAGAGGTGGGCAGAGGTGGACAGGTACAACACTCTGCCATTCGTTTTGTTGTGTGTTGGGGCAACATTTTGTTGTGTGTTGTGTGTCAGGATTTTGAGCCAGACTGAAGCTCCCACTCCGTAGCATTCCCCAGGACTCAGGTTTGGTGGGCAGGAACTCCCAGCAGGGCTATCCCAAGGACCTCATGAGGATCCAGCCAGCCTCCCCATCCCAGTTCCATATTAAAATGTCAAATCCCCCACATTACTCTCCCTTCAGTCCCTTGTTCTGAGCCATTCCCAGGAGATCCTTGCTAAACATCCAGCTCATGGCTGGAAATATCAATGTGCAGCAAAACATACCCCTTAAGTAAGAAGTGTTTCTGAAGAGCCTGACAGAACCAAGAAATCCTCCCAGTTACCTTCCATCTCTAGGTGGCAGTTCAATTCTTCCTTCTCATTATTTGTTTTTAGTCCATTAAAGATCTCATTCACCAATTGCTCTCTTAAATGTTTTTGATTAACAAAACTTAATTTTGGCTAATACTGGATTTTCTCAATCCAAGCAAACCAGCTTAAAATAAAAATAAGCCGAGGTTCTGGCATACACATTCAGGTCATCCTTTCACCAGATAAATTGTGTAACTTTGGTAAGGCTAGTCTCAAAGACTGGATCACAGTGCATAATTTATTAAAAAATATTGGGAGAATTCCAGCATCTAGTATTAAGTGGGTAGTTGTAATTCCTGCAGGATAAAGAATGATAAAGAAACAAAATGCTTTAATCCTCTACAAATTTGTCTAACATTTAATCTAGCTACTAACCATATGATATTTCCTTTCTCAAGCAGTCTTAATTGTTTTTAATTCTACTAATTAGGACTATGAGGGAGAAAGTGGAAATCATCAGCAATTAAATTCATGTTTCTTTGCAAAGCCAAGCTCGTACGTGAGATGAATATTCAGAGCTGTGCTGGAATCTCTGTGTGGATCTCTGCTTTCAGAATATTTCACATTCACACAGCAGGTCAGAGCACAAGCACCACACTGAGCACTCCTGTAGCATCTTTCAGCCCAGCAAACCAAGACAATTTAATATTAATGAAGCCTTTAACAATCTGGAAGCAGAATTCCCTTACGAGGCATGATAAAGCAGTAACCACCTTTACTCTCCAGGGCTCCCCCTCCTATAAACATCCTCTCCATCCTCCCAGGCCCAGCTCCATCCAGCTGTTCCTCTGTTGGTTCCCTGTGTCAGACAAGCCCCAGGGCTCAGGCAGGAGGTTGTGTCTGCACCTGACAGGGAAAGGATGCACAGCTGCCTCTTGTCTGTGTCGTGCTTTGGCTACACATCTGACATTTGAACCAGAGAATCAGCAGCTTCATGGACAGTCTGCAGAGACAATCCAATGCATTTATGAGACCCATCTGCTTCCAAGCAGCAGGCCAACAAGTTCCTCTCATGTCCAGTCTTCTGTTTCAATCATTAGGCAGTACTACTATCACTTAATTAAAATTTTTCTCCCACAGTTCTCCCTAAAAACAACAATTACCTCTTTGTAGCAACTGCTGTCAGTGATTGATGCAGAATCTACCTCATACTTTTAAGTGTGACCATAATATCATGTTATGATCACTCAAAATAGAAAAAAAATAATCTTTTCTAAGCCAGTGCTGCACAGTGACTCTGTTAGCAACAAGTATGTGCTGCTGCTTGCTGCTTCTGCAGAGAGGAAAGCAGCTCTGGAAAATGTCCCTGGTTCAGCATGCATTTAACTGTCCATGCACACAGCAATTCTCTTCAAAACTGAGAAAAAGCTCTTCATATGTATTTGAGGGTTAACCTGTCTTGGGGTTTAAGCAGGACTTTGAATTAAAAGTAATTTTGTTGGAGAAGTCAGGAGTTTCTCCTTGCATATATAAGGTATATGAAAGAAGATAATTGGGTCATAGACTGTCACTGTCTTCTGTCCCAAGGTTCAGAAGCTTAGAGTTGGAAATAAATCAGACCTGAAAATGATACTATTAGAATCATCACACAAATCTTGGTTCCCAAATTTTGCATGGAAATGTATTACTTTTTAGCTGTTTTTCCCCAATTATACTATGATTCCTCTTTGAATCCTGCAGAGGGTGTGCTCTTCATTTCAAATAAGGATTGAATGTCTTCCTCTCTTTCCAGCTCAAACTGAAATTACAAATTAATTCCATATGTAGTTGTGTGAAGTGTTACAGAGTAAGATGCACAGAAAGTCAGAAAAGGTGACAAAAAGGGTTTCTTTTGAAATTAAAAATCTATTGCTCTCCCTGCAATCTCAGTGTTGGGTCATTGCCTTCCTCTGCAGCTCAGCTGTGAGCAAAGATGAAGCCGTTGACCTCATTCAGGTTCTTATTCTGAAGCCTCAGAACTGTATCTAAATAAAATTTAGCGGTGTACAGCTCTAATCTCAACTCTTTTAATCAGGAATGAGATCCTCCTTTTGAAAAGCAAACCATTCTTGACCAAACCACTGCAAAATCTGTATCACCTGCAATTTTAGTGATGAAAATATATTGGGGTACTAGAGTTTATGAATTAGCACAGGAGTACTTAGAAGTGCCATAGTAGATTACAGCACCCAGGGGTCTCAGGAATACATTCCTGACTATCCTGAACAGCTCATTATCTAAGTAGGGAAGGCGAAATATGGAATAAAAGAATATTCATCCCCCCAGTCAGCAGATGGGGAAGGGAATCATAGCAATGATGTCGCCCAGTTACAACACGGAGACTGTGGCAGAGCCAGAATCTGCAGCCAGAGCTCCTGGGTCTCACCCCAGGTGTTTGGAAGCAAGTCCCAAAACTTCAGTTCCGAGGAGCTGTGTCTCTGTTGAGCTGTGCTCAGCCAGGCACAGCTGTATGGCATAGGGGGAGAGAGTGGCATCTTCTGCACTTGCCCAGCTCTTGCTCTCCAGGAGGGCAAAGAACTGATTTATCATGGCAGACCCAACACACAGTAAAAAGAAGTTGGTTTCAGTTCCATAGAAATTATTCTTCTATTTGTTCATTTTTAGGAACATGTTTCCAGCCAATCTTGTTGAGGCCACATTCAAGCAGGTAAGTTGCTATATTCCTTTTACTGATGAAAGACATGAGCCAGTATTATATGAAACATGTACCTTTGTAAAACACAACCCAGATGTAGCCATGGCATACCACTGCAGACACGGTTAGTACCTTCAGCATTTGGGAATTAATGAGTCCCATTCCATTAGCCTCAGCAGCCATGGTATCTGAAGGTAAAACAGGGATAAAGTGCTCTCTAGTATGACTAGAGAATAGATATGCACTCCTATGTCAGCTCCATGTCCACCTGAGGAGCGCTGGAATTTATTTAAGAGCACCCTGCAACATCACACAAAAGAAGAACAGAATATCATGTTCAATTAAAGCAACAAAGTAATGTATTGGGGAAGAATCTAATTACTCAGGCTGGAATTTGGCAAGAAAAGCTCATCTAGAAGTTTTGAGGGAGCAAGAGGCATGGCTGTATTTATTTCACCTGGAAGACCATTTCATGGGAACCTCACAAAGAGTAGGGCACTTAGAACCTCTAGGAAATAATTCCTTATTATGTCTTACAGGAAAGTAGCTTGGTCAGGAGGCAAAATGTTTGCTGACCAGGGTCTGATCATAGGAACTCTGGTTTTGTTAGGCTTTTCCAAAAATTCAACTGTTTTTACAGATTTTATCAGATAGAGACGGGAGCGTTCATTCTCCTTTTCATGCCAGTCCCTTCAACATGCAGCACTGTTGAAACAGAGCACTTAGGAGGTCTCATGAAACTATTAATTCCTGTTGGGATATTGTAATCAAAACTGCTTTTTTTTCTTTCAGTATCGCACCAGGAGTATTCCCATCATTAAATCGAACAGAGCGGCACCCGAGAGCAGCACCCGCCGCATCATCGTCTACGGCGTGCAGGACGAGAACGGCTCCAACGTCCAGAACTTTGCCTTGGATATCACCCCCCCTCCTGAAGTGATTTACAAATCAGAGCCAGGTGCCAGTGATGGCATGAATGTACTTGGGATTGTGATATTCTCTGCCACGATGGGTAGGTTTCAGACATGTTTGGTTTGCAATAATCCGAGTGTCCACTTAAGAGAAAAGGATTGGGGTGGGGTTGCTTGGTTTCTTGACTCAGTTTTTTTAACTGTTTCTATCTAAAGTTTTTTGGGGAAAACGCAAGACTGTTACAGAGATGTACCCCCACCCTTTCAAAGCCAAATTTTCAAAATCCTTGATGACTTTTGTTCCATGGAGTTGGATTTTCTGTGCATTCACTTGTATTTTATTTTTTTCTCAATTATTTTGAGCTTTTATTTATGACCCATCTTTTGCTGATTGTAAGACAACCTTGTACAGTGTGCTCAGAGGAGGCAGGAATTACGACCAGATCAGACCCATGGGCCCTCTACCAGTATGCCAACCCATATTGTTTTATGAATTTTAAATCTGTGGATATTCTTTTTTTGATTGAAACTTTTTGATTTTATTTTTGGTATCCTGCAATGAAGATAGTTATATACCACCTACTAGCTTGTCAGAGTAAGAGCTTCTGTCTGGCTTATTTATTTAGTTTAACTTGCTGGAGGAACTCATTGGTGCCATGTGTGTTTTATTATGTTTGTGGATTTGAAAGAAGATATTTAAACAAACATTTCCTAGTTAATCATAAAGTTCTGATGACTTTTATAAGAAAATGCTGATCAAATTTTCCTTATGTAAATTTATTCTTGGAAGTTAATCTGGTCAGCAAAGGTAGTTCCATAAAACATCTTTGGCTGTATTTATTTATATTGTGGTTCATACAAGCACAAGGGGTCAAGATTCAAACCCGGAATTAGTGAATTTGTCTCTATTTTTTTAGCTTCTCCAGTGGGTGGTATTCCCTGTACAACCCTGATGGAAACTGGCCGTCTCCCAGTTTGTAGTATTTTATAGTCCATTTCCAAAGTACAGCATCACCACAAACACTATTCCAGTCAAAACCTACTGGATATGAATTAATTAATTACATCTACTTATTAGGACCAAGGGCAATTTTTTGCTTCTGAGAACAGAAGATCATTCATTGTCTGCCCAGAACTGAATGTACAACTTTTAACGAGCCCCTCAGTCTGGCTGGCTCTTGCAGACAGAAGCTGAGACCTGGCTTCTTCCTGGCTGATGGACACAAAACAGCACCAGGATTGTCACCCACAGCATGCCCGCTGGGTCACCTCTGGCTGTACCAGCCATGAACAAACCTGAGACACCAAACCCTCAAGAACTCATCACCAGTGACTATTTCAGGCTTTTGTTTTGAACAAAGGATGTGGCCAAGCATTTATCGCTGTCTTCCTCCAAAACGGAAGCATTGAAACAGCTTAATGAAAGAGTGTTGTCTTCTGACCTACAAGTTATGGCTTAGATGAATTCTAACAGGCTTACAAACTCACATCTTGTGATGTGAAATCCCTGGATAAGGCAGCTGAAAGCCTCCCTGCCTGTCCCAGCAGGGAATGGCCCTGGAAGCGGCGCTGCCTGAGACGTGGCTCGGAGCCATGGGGGCTCCAAGAGACAGAGCCGGGCTCCTGCTCAAGGCAAGGCCACTGCACATCCAGAACCAGCAGCAGCACACACCCCACTGCCAGCCCCTGCCTCCCCAGGCAGCTCCCCTCAAAGGCAAACTCCCTTGGTGCAGCCAGCTTTTGAAGTGTTTCCTTGAGCAATTGACTCGATCACTGTAAATGCTTCCAAGAAGGATAACTATAGGAAAATGTTGTCTATTTATATGCATTAATGGAAACTAACTGTCTGGAGAATATATGGTTAGATGATACATCCTTGAGCTGTATTTAGTTCTTTTCTGAGCAATGAGGGCACATACATGGGTTTTATTTGCTTTCTTCTTTACTAGTTAGTCTTTATAGCAATTTAGCCTTCATCCCCATGAATCTGCTATTCCTTACCTCCCCCAAAACTGCAAAGATTGGCGGTCTATAAAGCCTAATTATTGTCATGTAGATAGAAAACTACTAAAAATATGACAGAGACTCCATTATTAACTCCCCATTACCACAGCAAACCTCAAAACCTGGCTTTTCTTCCCAAGACCTCATTGGTGCAGCCTGGCTGTAAGCAGAGACAGATTCCTTCAATAGAAAATGTTTCTCAGTTTGTGTTCCACGGATCACTCAGAGCAGGCAAATCCCACACAGGTCTCTATGACCGATAGTTCAGGATACAGCCTTGCTACCAGAGGGCTTTGACTTTCAGCAGGGAGGGAAAGCACTGGGGCTGTGTGTGAAGACACCTGAGAAACTGAACCTGAATGCTTTGGTTGCAGGTATAATGTTGGGAAGAATGGGGAACAGCGGCGTCCCTTTGGTCAGCTTTTGCCAGTGTTTGAACGAATCTGTCATGAAGATAGTGGCAGTTGCTGTTTGGTAGGTAACTGTTTTACTGAGAAAATCAATATTTTTTTTAAAAAGAGTAAGAACATTTCAAGAGAAGAAAATGCACAGAAATCTCACACATTTATTTCTAGGGAAGTAAATGAGGATGAATAACTCTTCGTTTGCAGGGCCTCAGCATTTGAGGATGCACATACATCTGTCCCTGACCTGTACCACTCTTTTGACAGGGCACACTCCATGTTACTCCCAAATAACAGAACATGGTATAGCTGGGTGGGGTGTGCTGTATGCCTCACATACAGCATATGTGAGGCAATCCCTGGGCAAGCCAAAGGGGAATCACAGCCAGCCAGGCCACACAAGGGAGAAGCACAATGGGATGCTCTAGCTGGTACCTCCATCCCTTCCAGCACTGCTGCAGACCCAGCCAGACCTGCCAACTCACCTGACCCAAAGATCAGAGGAACAGCATGTGGCTGCCAACAAGAAGCACTATCAGCTTAGCACCTTCTCCCCACTTCAGGATGCTCAGCCTGATGTGGGACAGGGAACCAGCACTCAGCACACAGCCTCTCTTTACAGCTACATGGTCCCATCTGAGTGAGCTGGGTCAGGGAATTGCTTGGGATATGTCAAAGGAGATAGTTTATTTCTGGAAAAATGAGGAAGTATTGTCAAGTCTCTGGACATGGCACAGCTGCAAGTGGAAGATGGCTGGATGCTTCCAGATTTTTTTTTTTTTTAATTTAAAGCTTTTTGGTATCCATGACTTTGTACGCAGCTGCGCACAGAAGCACAACAGTTTTGATAAAGCACCTGTCCAGAGCAGATTCAGAAACTAACAATCCTTCTGCCTATTTATCTGGCACAAATCAAACCCCCAGGCAGTCCAAGAGCATGTCTAATGCATGTTGGTGGTTCTCCTCTGTCTTCCAAAGGCAACATAAACGTTTACTTAAGAGCTTCCAACAAAAATCCCTGAATAGCTACATGAACACAAACACATGAGAGGAGCTCAGGATTCATTCCCCCTCTTCCCAGTAATTTACCTGCCTGAAGCTAAAAATCAAAGCTGCCTTTGGAACCAAAAGATTTTAAAGTTGTTGCTTGCCAGCACCATAACCTCAGCTGTGCTGAGGGGGACCCCACAGACAAAACTGTCCAGCTCAGTGCTCTGGGCATCCTGCTCTGGTGTGGAAACACAACAGCCAAACCTGGACAGGGCAGGTACTGCACTTGCCACTGGAAGGAGCTGCAGCTCTTACTGATGGAAGGGAGCTGTCTCCTAGTAATGTCTTTCTTTTTGCTCAGGTATTTTCCATTTGGAATTGTGTTCCTAATAGCTGGCAAAATCTTAGAAATGGATGACCCCTCAGCCATTGGGAAGAAGCTGGGTTTCTATGCCATTACGGTGGTGTGCGGCCTGGTGGTGCACGGGCTCTTCATCCTGCCAATGATGTACTTCTTCATCACCAAGAAGAATCCCATTGTCTTCATCAGAGGGATCCTTCAAGCCTTGCTCATTGCTCTGGCCACATCCTCCAGGTATAATAGAGTTTCTAGACAGATCCAATAAAATACTTGCTAGAGCCTTACTCCAGTTACCTCTTGGGAAGAGCACACTATTGCCATAGTGGAGCAGATATATGTGTATCTGAGCAATGGTCTCTGTCCAACTCACTGGTATAAATTTAAAAAATGTGTGTCTCAACATTTGGAAGTTATGTGGGAGCCACTGGATAATAATATTTGTTATATTGTTTTCCCTTGGTTTAAAAATATTGGATAAAACCATTTTTTTAATAGAGGACTAGAAAGGAAATAAGTTCTTTTTCCATATAAAAATATTGTGCTTCTACAAAGTTAATGTATATGAGGGACACGCAGTTTGTACAGACTTCATTTTTGGTATTAGTGGGGAACCTCCTATTTCAGTCATATGGAAACATTTTATCCTCTCCACTCATGTTAGTCTTTGTCTCTTGGTACATTAACAAAAGACTGTGGTTGCAAGCTATTGTCCAGCACTGGGAAAGTATTTAAGTGTTGTGCTCAAGGAATAGTATCTTTTGCTCCCTTTTTAGAGAAGATGTACAATGAATTTTAACCATAGTTGAACAAAGGTACAGTGAAAATGGGAACCAGCTTGTGAACAGGCTATGAAAATTACTCCCAACATGGAGAAAATGGTGCATGAGATGTGCTTGAAAGGGCTGGAATTTCCTTGCATGGAGCAGATACAGAAATTACTATTAAAATAACATTTCTGTGTAGCCAATATGACAACACAGTTTCATGGCATCTGTGGCTGAAGGAATGTCTACAGATTAGACAATCTGATTCACAGATTTAATCTGTGAAGCCACAGATTAAAAGAAAGGGGAAGAGGGAATTATTATTTCAGTGGAGAAGGTACTGGATTTTCACTGTGACATTTCATGGAGTGTTTTTATATATAATAGTTTGCTCCAAAATGACCAGTAAAGAGCAGCATGTTGAGAAACACACAATCAAGAAAAATGACATGGTGAGTGGTGCTTAAACTCTACATGCACTTAAGGAAAGCTTTTTTATTAGAACATAAAAAGTTTGTAGCTTGAGATGTCACCACATCCCCACATTCAAGTAAGATGAGAATTTTGCACTTAAAGATGTTAATGTTGGAAAAGGCTCATCAGGCTCACATTTGACACACTTGACTACCTTCCCTGCTTCTCCAGGAATTCCCTTTCTGAAAACTCTATTGCTGACAACTCAGTTTTTTTAATCTGTGCCATTCCTTTCATTCTCTTTTTTTTTTTTTTTTCTAGAAAGAGATAGCTTTTACTAAAAATCAGAGTATTTCTCTTTTTAGAAAAAAATATCCAACTTTTTTTATGAGTATAGATGCCTTTAACAAGAGAGGTTTAATAAAGACAAGATCAGCAGGTATTCCACCATTTCAAAATCATTGCTTTTCTTGATTTTCTATATTATGCATTAACATTGCATTTTGGTTTTATCACCAATTTAGGAGTCCTTTACTGATCTGGAAACTGGTGAGAGAGAGATTTCTGTCTCTGCTGAGCCTCCTTAAGGGAAACCAATTCTTACTTGAGGTTTTTTTTCAGCCCCATTTCCTCAGCCCTTACAAGCTGATGTGAGAGTGCCCTCTGACAGTGGGGAATACACAGGGAATTCATCTTCCTCTTAAACCTGTGCTTTGACTCTCCTGGGCTCTGACTCCCAGATAAGATCCTGCCTCTGGGGATATCAAGAGCTTTGAGACAGCACATTCTCCCTTTAGCTGTGCAAGGAATAATTACTTACAGGCCCAGAGAGGGGAACAGAGCTCTGGCACCAGCTGGCAGCTCAGTCTGCACCAGAACCACCAGCAGGACTTGCTACCAAATTTAGTATCTTTATTGGCAGAAGCTACAGTATCACCAAATTTAAGGTGAGTCCTGAGGGAAGGCTCTGAATATATGGATTTGGGCTTTGGACATTTTTGGATTTAGCTGTTTCTCCATCCTTAAGAGTGTATATATTTTGCAAATCCAACACAGGCCCAAAATGGTTTCCAATGTTTTTCTGCTCAAATCAGTGTCTTTTCTAGAGATAGCTGAACTTTTCACCTTCATTACTCTGAAAGGAATGGATACTGCACATAACTGAGCTGTTGCCAAAAGAACATGCACAAATAACTGGGGCTGGACAGGAGAGCTGCCTCTCCTGACAGTCAACACATCTGTATTTGGTTAAATAAGACTTGCCACAGGGGCATTATATAACACTTGTCATGTGGGTATTGGATTTTCAGATCATCCTAGAGGAGAACAAAGAGTTGATTTTAAAAATACTGATGTGTTTCTTGGAGATGTTTCTGTGTTGGTTCAGGTCTACATCTAAAGATAGAAAGAAAACCACGAGTTAGTGTGCTGATAACATTTCAGATACTCTGCACCTGGGAAAAGCTTTTTTTTACAGCTAAAGATCAAACTACAAGAAGCAAAAACAGCACCATTTACAAAGCCCAAGAATGTAACACAGGAGAACCTGAAAGCCACTAAGCAGCCATCTGCTGGCAAGGATTTTACTGAATCTCAACATCATTTCTGCTCACTTCCCCTTAGTGAAAGGTTCTGCACCCCATTCTCAGTCCTCTTATGCTTCTCCAGAAACCCCAACCACAGCATATTTTGCTTTGCACCATTTTCAGTGGAGAGGCAGGGGCAGAACAGCAGGTCTTTTTCCTTTGGTGCATCCCTCAGGACACAAGTGAATGTGCACAGCTCCTCTTTCCTGCAGCCCTGGAGGTGCACAGCACGTGCTGCCCCTGCCCACCCTCCTCTGGGGTGTCCAGGCTGCACATTTGGGGATTTCTGACTCTGCTTTCTTCCCCTCACACTGCCCCTGATCTTGTCACCTCTTATCACACTGAAAAAGCAGAATTTGGCCAGCAGGCAAAGTTCTTCTTGATCTTAGCTTTCCTCATTCCAATGGCAAGAGGGAATTTTGTTTTTCTAGGTCATCTTTCCATATCATTAATGAATTAAAACAGCATCTTTTCAGTGGTACATCCCATCAAAAGAAGCAATTTTCATCTTCTCTAAAGACAAATTATAAACCATGAGTTTTTCAAGGGTTTTTCTGCTTATGAAACACTAAGATCTTGGCTATTGCACAGTGTAAATTAAAGGCAGATTTAGAAAGGGGAGATGAGATCAGTTTGCTGATTTTTTGGAGCAAACATCAAAATGCATTTGAATGATAAGATAAACAGAGCAGGCTGAACAGCTGTTCTTCTACAGTGACTGGCTGTCCTTGTGGCTCTCACTAGTAAGAGCCTGGCCTGGGCCAGCATTAGCTTATGCTCAGTCTCTGCAGCTGCAGCATTTTATCCCAAAATTGAGATTAAGACTCTGAATTGTATTTTTAATTGTTAGAGTTAATGCTGGCAAAACATACCTCTCAGTTGAAAGCCTTGGGTCAGTTTTTAAAAGAGTTAGCAGATTAAGATCAGTGCTTTAGAGTATTTTTTTTCTCTCAATAAATATTAAATGTCAAGCTTTAATGTTACTGCTCCACTGTTTAACACTAGATAAAAGTAGCTTTCAAGAAAACAAACTTCACCTAGTTTAACTAGAAAGACAAACTAGACAAATTATTTGATAAAGTCTTTTATAATATTGAAAGTATATATTAATATTATTCTAAAATTACAGTAGGACCCCTTTTTTCCCCTCGTTGCTCCCTGAGAGACACCAGTAGCCAAAGCTTTAAATAAGACCTATTTTTCTGGTGTGTGCCAGATGATATAATATGAATAAAAATGGAACATCATTGGACAACCTCTTCTAGAATGTTCCATACAACTTTTGTCAGCTGTCCTCAGGAAATGTTAATTTCTATGAAACAGGTGCTGAAAGGGTAACTAGGGATGTAAAGTAGCAATCTCCTAAGTGAGAGGTTAAAAAGACTGATTGGGTCAATCCAGGCTGACAGAGGAAAAAGCTGATTTTTAACATCATGTATCGCAACAGCTGACTTGCAAGGAGAAATATAGAAAGCACATAAATCAAATTTACTGTAAATTGAGAAGACTACCTCTAGATCATAAATTCAATTTCTAATGTGAGCAGAGAGTTCTGGAAAGTCTCTCAGCAGGAGTAAGCAGGACACAGATCCTACTAACTCTAAGATGCAGTGTCATAAATTTGAGCGAGACAATGTAGTAGCTGTCTAAGAAAATACAAGAATCTGGAAATTTGTTCTCTTTCAATATCTTTCACGTTTTTCATCATCATGGCATTTACATTCTGACCATTTTTTTCAAAGAAAGACACACCTAACTGTGAGATAGTGAACAAGTTTAAAAGCTGAATTCTTGCAAAAACACTGTAGTAAGATCTGTTTACAACAATGGAAACAGATACAGATTTTTCTGGTTGTGTCATTGGTATTATGAGATTGTTTTGCACAATATTTTTGACACTTCAATCAAATTGTAATACATTAATCAGCTAAAACTTGTATCTCTGCCCTCAGAACAGGCAGACACTTAGGTTTAATATTCTGGTATGTCGGAGTGTAGGCAAGGTGGCAAGGACTTGTAAAATTACCTTTTTGTCCTCATTTCCACCCAAAGAAATTAGACAGGGTTTTGTTACAGAAAAGCTAAATGTCTGAGGGAAGACTGTCCTTAAAAACAATTAACTCTCAAAAACTGAGTAACTGAAGAAAAGGGAGACAATGAGTTAAATTCTTTTTTCTTGGTGAAGCCTCTAGTCAGAATATCTAGAAATGCTACTGAATCTGCTCCTAGTTGCAGCTGCTCCCAGGGTTTTCAGTTCTGCATTATTTGTGAGCCACAGCCTCTTCTTTTATGAACATTTTATGGTAAACAAGAGGCAGAGAATTTCAGTCATTCACAAATAACCGTGTGAAAAATGACAGGCACACTCAAGAGAGAAATGACACCTCCTGAGCAGCTTGGGGATTACGGGGTTATGCTTTGCTGTGTTTGTTTTTCAAAGTAAATATTGATTAAATAGTAGGACTGCCTGAATTAAAGTTTAATACACCCCAATTACAGGAGGTAATCAGATTTCCATTGCTTACTTGCCTTTCTAGCATATTTACTTAGAGAAAGACTTTGGTCTGGATTTTCAGGCAGTGACTGCCAGTTGGTAGTAAATAATTCAGCAGTAAGACTTCATAAAGTTATAGAAAACAGAGATATCATACTGAAAACATAGCCTTGTCTTTTTTCTTTTGTGTTTCCATGGCAGGAAGTTACTTTTCCATTCCAAACACAGTTACTTTCCTCAAACAACAGTTTGCACAAATATAAAATGACAACTCCTACTCAGGGAAACATTTTGCTTAGGCATTCCTGCAAACTTGGGGTTGTGATTTCAGAGTTTTTGGAATCCCACTGTGCTCTTATACAACATTTGTAACAACTGAGAAAGGATTTGCAGAACCAGTGTGTTATCTTCAACTGAGAACAGCTAATTGTAAGATTTAGGTATTGGAGGCACATTTTGATGTGAGGGTCACTACACACGGTGACAGAGCAATCTGAACTGCCAAACCAGGGGAAGACACTTGGATTTCCTGTCTCAGGGCGTGTAAATCACAGGACAACAGGACACTGAAGATCACAGTGTCACCATACCGTATTTCCCCTATTACCACCTTTTTAAAGAGGTAACTTTGGAATAATTCTGAAGAAGTTTGCTATATTGCATCTGTTTAAATAGTCTCAGATAGTGAGCAGTGTATCAAAGTTGGTATAATAACAAGGAAAATATTTTGTGATTTGTGTATTTTTTTCAGTGGTGTTACTTATTTTCCATACAAACTAATGTGCCATTAAAAATACCCCCTCACTCACTTGAATGCAGTCTCATTACTCATGACATCAGTGAATAAAACACCACATGGTAACATGCAGAATGTTACCAAAAGGCTGATAAAATAAACAAATAAATATATTTCAGTGTATTAGTATTTAAAAATGTGTACCTCTTATTCAAAATAAGAAAATATATGACCATATAGTGTTTTGTTAATTGTCTCAGTTAATGGAAACAAAAATCTGAAATATTTTTTAGGGTATGAAGCTCAATTTAAAATTAATATCTGTCAAATGTTCTTATACCATTCCATTCTATTCCACACATATCTCATTTACATATGCACACATTATTATATGACCTGCAGTTATGTGGTTGTTATATGACCACACAAGGGATGGGGGCAGATCTGTCCCAGGAAGAAAATAGGATTTTATATTCTTAAACACAAATGTTTTGTCTGCAACTTTTATCTTCAGGCTGCTGTTGATAAGATCTTTGTCTAACCCTTCCCAGAAACAAAAAGTTGTTTACACATGAGGTAGGCCTGGAAAGAAACATTTTCAGAGATTTTAGGAATAAGCTGCTCAGAATGTTGTTCCCTTTTTTTGCATTTGAGTGTACGACGCTGCCTCTGTGGGAATTCTGTCCCTTTGATTCTGAAACAGGGAAAGAGAGAAAAATATTTCTAACTTTGGGAATCAAAATTAGCTCTAAATCCAACATTTATACGTGAAACTGTCTTTATCCTCCATCAAGCAAAGGAGTGAGTTACCTGGCAAGTGAGGCACATGCAGAGCAAGGAGTTCGGACAGTTGTGTGAAACTTCCCCTGTCAGGACAAGGTTTGCTACAATTCATTCACTCCCCAGAAACAAAAATAACCCAATGTGTGCTTCTGTGCTGTTGTGCAGCTCAGCCACTCTGCCTATCACTTTCAAGTGCTTGCTGGAGAACAACCACGTGGACAGGAGGATCGCGCGCTTCGTGCTGCCCGTGGGAGCCACCATCAACATGGACGGGACGGCGCTGTACGAGGCCGTGGCCGCCATCTTCATCGCCCAAGTCAACAACTACGAGCTGGACTTTGGGCAGATCATCACCATAAGGTACAAACCACAATTCCACATGCTGGGGCTTGCTAGTCTGCATAGAGCCATGGAATCTGCTGAGCTGGAAGGGACCCATCAGGGTCATCATTTTGTTGAGTCTGAGGCACTACTCTTGTATGTAGCAAGAATGAAACTCATCTTTGCTGTTATCAAAGATGCATCCTCATAGAAGGGTTGTTTCTAAGTAAGAGATCAGTCACTGCTCAAAGAGGAATTGTAGTGGTCCTTTTTAATAGATGCATGTGGACACCAGGAAATGTGCTTCTGTTTGAAGATAACTGTCTAATTTTTGCTTTTAGGCAGCCCATTGATCACTTCTAGCATTGGAGCATTTTATGATTATTGGTGTTTAAAACACTATTTTCAACTTCACAACTGTTTTCAACTTGTGTCTTCAAGTGAAAGGAGAAGGTTAAAAAGCTGCAAAACTGAAAGTCTTATATCAAGTGACAGGGAATAGTGCATGCCGGGAAGCTCTTGCAGGATTAGGGGAAGAGGGAAGGAGGACAGATGCTACCATCAGGGCAGGTTTTCACAAAGATGTCAAGTCACTAAAATGTTTTCTAATTGTCTTCTCTGCTGGTTGTTAAAGCAGAAAGCTTCATAAACAACCATACTCTCAGTTGGTAGAGAATGTTATAGCTGTGTACTCCATCCTTGAAAGGTCTGTAATGGATCCAAAAGACTGGAAGATCCAGCTGAACAATTACTGCCAGAATAATTCCAGTGACTGCCAAATAATTCCTCAGGGACTGAAACCTGCAGGTTTCCAGCAGGGAACAAATGATTATAAAAACATTCCTCATAGTCAGAGCTTTGTGCAATATATTTGAGATCTCCTTAACTACCCACCCACTGACCTCACCACTGCCCCATTTACACTGCTGGGCCTTGCCCATCTTCTGCTGGACCTGAAAATCTTCATGACAAGAAGAGGAGAGTGCTGAAAACAACCTCAGATGACAGCTGAGATTTGCTAATAGGCTTTTGGCAAGACCTCGTTGGACTACAAAAATAAAAAATAAATTGTGCCCATATGAGCTCTTGCTTCAGGCCTGCACTCTCTTTGAAAACTGTTGGAATGAGCCTGTGCTAAAATTTTGTCTTTTCTGATTTGGAATTTCAAGATTTTTTTTTTTAGCATGTCATGCTAAAACATGGCAGAGCATGAGCAGATATTACACACACTTTGAAGTAAAGAACAGTCATTTTAAAAATTAAGGAGAAGGGTGATAACAAAATGCAAAGAATGTAAGCTCCAACTTTTTCTTAGCAGAACCTCCTTTTATCTCTTTTACCCCCCACATTAAGTGCTACTACATAAGGACCATACAGAAGTAAACCAGTAGACTGAAAATACAAGTAAAGATTGAGAAAAATCCAAGAAGAGAAGAAAAATAAAAATATGCACAAATGAGGACGCTAAACAGGAAATCATGGTGGACTCAATTCCTAGATCTTAGTACTTTAGGACCTGGAGATTTAAAATTCAAATAATTCTGAATGCCAGGATATTTCTTCCAGAGGGGAAAAATTATTAGACAAATAATCAGTCTACTTTGCTCATAGTTTGTAAAATCCAGGTTAACAGTTTCTATCAATGCAAACATTGATGTAGCAGAGAAAGAGAGTAAAGATTTCCATCAACTGATCACCTTACAGAAAAAAATATCTACATTAAGGTAAAGATGGAAAGGAATAGCAGATGAGCTTGCTTGTAAAACCTTAGTTAAACACTCCTGGTTTTACTTCCAAGTAAGTCCTGAGACTTTGTGGCCTGATGTAAGAGGCAGAAAGCAGAAGCAGTCCTGATCAGACAGACAGTTCATAGCACTAACTGGAAAGGCTTTTAATGTTCATTATAGTTATCTCTTACTCAGCTCCTGAACTTCTGTCCCTTCTTATCTATGCTCTATTACAATGTTATTAGGATGCTACACAAATTAACTTTTGAAAAATTTAATTTTAGGTCTTTCCCCTTCCCTATCACACCCACATGCTAATGTGTCTTTTTATTTTAAAAACAGGGCTCTAGGTACAAATACTGTACTGGTACACTGTACAGCTGTAAGCAAGGGACTGGATAGCCCTGTGTTTCAGTTTCCATATGGGTGAATACACTTATCCTCATTTTCCATAGTAGGTTAATGAGACTTAACTGCTTTCCAAAAGCTCTGACATTCTTGACTGATGAGTGCAGAGGATTACCAGTGTAAATGCTTTCTGTCATCCTTTTACAACTGTCAGCATTTGTTCTTTGTCTTTCTGCTGGATGGCCTAGCTCTTGGAAGTCACTAGTTCGGTGGAAATGAATACAACCAGTCACTTTTGCTCCTGGAAAAAATAATTAAATCCCTCCCTTAAAAATAACATTATGAAAAAGAATGTTAAACTTGCCAGGTCTACTCTTGCCCTGGTCTCCCACTCACTTCTACTTGCCTGGCTGAAAAATTGTATGAAGGTCAAGTAAAAATACTTTCCAGAAACTGAACATGTACAGTCACATTCAGGCTTGCTTCACATTTAGATCCAAGTATGCAAAGCCATGTGCTGTGCAAGGGCTTCACCTCTGGCCCAGTCTCTTTACCCTTGGCCTAACCCTTGAAACGGATTGACAGTAAAGTCCCCAGGCAGGGCCAGCCACAGATTTGTGACCCAGAAGTGTCTGCTGGGAGCTCAGCTGCCAAGGACAACAACCATGAGTGGGGCTGGCAGACTCCTGGCACACAGCTCGGGGTGACAGAACTGGCAGAACTCAGCCCACAGCCTGGCTGGCCCCTCTGCTCTGCACCTTTGATACAGGGAGAGAACAGAACTGCTCCACCAGTGCCAAGGCTGCAAAGGCTGAGGGTGAGAATTCAGCCCTGGGCAGACAGTCTGCCCTGTTCCTGCTGTCTCACCTGGATTCTGTCCACAAAACACTGGCACTTCCATGCATGGCTTGTGTAAGAGCATGGTTTAGAAACATGGTTCCTTCCAGAAAATAAAGCTTATTCCTTTCTTTCCTTGTTAAAGTATCACAGCAACAGCTGCCAGCATAGGTGCTGCAGGCATCCCACAAGCTGGCCTGGTGACAATGGTGATTGTTCTCACCTCGGTGGGGCTCCCAACAGATGACATCACGTTAATTATTGCCGTCGACTGGGCACTGTAAGTAACACAAAGCTCTTGAGGCTTCCATGGTGGCAATTTGGCTAAAAAGGCAAATGGTCTCCAGGGGTACAGTAATACAGATATATATATATATATATATAAAAGCAAAGGAAGTGATTATATAATTTGAAATGGTATTAACGTAGCCTTAGATTAAAAACTCTACTGATGTGGACATTATATTGAAAAAGACAAATGAAGGAGTTTAGATGACTCTTGGAAATATGTCTTGCATGGAAAGGCTGAAGAAATGGAGTCCATTTAGTCTAAAACCAGAGCTGAAGAGGTCACCACAGCAGCTTTTTACATAGATAAGATTGTCCAGAAGAGGACATTAATAAATCTTCACATTCACAGGAAGGGAAGATGAAAAACTAGAACAAAGTACCTACTTCAACTGAGATCCAAAAAGAACTTAACTTTTATGTAGAAGGATAGTCAGGCAATGGAAGTGGCTGCACACAGCCAGGCTGGATGATGATCTTCAAGACAAGTTTGAAGGTTGAGGCAGACAAATGTGCTTCAGGGGCAACTCTGGCACCTTGCCTTGGGCAAGGATAAGGGGCCAACATTCCTAGGAAACATGGTTTGCCTGCACTCCACTTATCAGCCCACTGACATTTCAAGGCCATCATCTCAGAGTAGTGAAGCACTCTGCAAGAGACCTGAGCCACTGCTAAAGCCAGCAAGTAGCACTGCCACCACTGGCAGCCTGGGCCACAAGAGCCATGGCAGCACGGTGATGGTGTGGGCTGTGTATGGCTACTGCTGCTGCAAGCCCAGCACAGTCAGCCTGAGTGCTGGCACCACTAATATCTTCCTTTCACCATGATGCAATTCTGTGCTCTCTGATTTCAGTGCTAAAGAGGCAGCGCCTGCTTGCAGCCCCCAGGTTTGCAAGTGCAGCTGTTCTAAAGAGAGGGCACTTTGCTGCATCCCCAGTCACTTAACAGCACAGCAGGGGCTGATACTTAACACACTCATGGTGAAAGGGATTTGTGTCACTCATGAGAAGAGTCACTTTAAAAATTCATATGAAGTGGTTTATTTGAACTCTCAACTTTCATGTAAATGCCAATGAATCAATCAATTTTGAATAGTTTAGGAAGATGAATCATAAAATACTGATCCCTAGCTCATTAGTATGTCAATTAACTGTGTAACCACAAGAAAATGTCCAAATTATCTTTATTTAAGCTATATAAAATATATGTCCTTTAATATAGGGAGTTTCATTGCATCAGGGTTCTGTGTAAATTGTGTTACAAGTCCATTTGGTTATATATCCTATTTTAGTCAACTTTCAGCCACTTTTTTTTTTTGTATGAAGAATTGTGAGAAAAAATATTTTCTGTCCAGTGTAATAGAAAATTATTATTATTATTAGCATTAATAGGAGTCATGAATCTTGTGTTGTAGGAATATTTTAAGACTGTATTACAAAAGCCTTTTCCCTCCATATTGCTCAGTTTTTGCCCAGTTCTTGCAACATCAACATTTCACTGTTCTTCCAGTAAGCCTTCATGGGAATTAGTCTTCTTTTTGTCTTACACAACTTTTCAGAACAACACAGAAAAGACTCTTCAAGCTATAGCTCCAGATGGTATTAAAAAGTGAGTAAGGAATAGACCCAGTTTTCTGTCTTTTGCAGATGACCTTTCAAACAAAAAGCATATTTCTGTATTTTGGCACTTGGTGGTTTCAAGAGCCTGCAGATGTAAAGTGTCAATGTGGTTGACACGGTAAATTTTTTCAGTATTAGTTTTGGAAGTCCTGGTGTATGAAGAATGCTTAAAGAAGGCTGGTTAGATGATCTCACGAGACTGAAATACCCATTACAATGCACTGCAGGTATTACAACTCTTAGGAAGCCATAACCTGTATGTGACCTTCATACCTCTAGCTAGTGCTTAGAGACATAAAGAAGAAAATCAAAATGTTTCCTAGCTCATTTATCAAACACAAGGTAAAAGTTTTACATCTTTATAATATCAATCACAGCTCAAATACCACTGACTCACATGTCTGCACAGAGAGAAATTTCACCAGCAGCAGGTTGGCCTCTCAGTGGAGAAATGCCAGTGGTGTGTGTTGTGATTCTCCTCATGCACAGTGCAGACTGCCCCACACACTGAATGAATGTGGAACACAACTGGTCAAACAACGTGCCAGGCAGTCCCTTTTCTTAGGAGTTTCAGTGTGGAGCCCCGTTTCCTTGGAAAAATCCTGTCTTGAAAAGATGCTAATTAGTGCTCAAAAGGGAGCTCAAACTCTTGAGCTCTGCTCATACAACTTCTTCTCTACCACAGCTGACTTGTTGCACAATCCAAAATTCACAACACTGAGTATCTTTCCAAGAATCACTATTTGATAATCAGGAAGGAAAGAAGTCAATGTGTAACAGGAACTTTTATCAGTACGTGCTGTAACTGCTTTATTTCCCTGTTTAACATGTTCTTGTGGAAATTTTCTTCAAGGCAAAACCCAAAATCAGAACAGCAGGAATTTTAAAAAATTTATTAAGCAAACAAGTGTAGGACTGGGTCCTGGAGTCAAGAACCATATCTAGGTGTAGGCTGTAGAATATTATTGCTGAAGTTACTAGCAGTTGCACATACAATTTAGTAACTCCACACACAAATAAGCTTTCATGAAGGAATTTTCATAATTAAGCAGGCAAATGCATAAACATTTATATGCGCTGAGTACTTGCCTAAAATATCTGAAAAAAAATCAGCACAGAGTTTCAATTCTTTTCTATATTAAGATACAGGATCAAAAATCTGGGCAGTGTTGATATTGGACTGTCACTGACTTTAATAAGCCAAACATCTGGAGATTTCTGAACCTCCATTTTAAAACCTACATTTATAAATTAAGTTACTAATATGACAGAGTTTTCAGATGTATATGTTTTTCTTGGAAAAGACATGATGTATTTCAGACTTAAAAGCTATATCATCTATCTGAAATTTCATCAATTTTAACTATAGGTTCCAGGATGATTCAAGTGTAACACTTGTCTTTGTGTGACAGCCAGTTACTTTTGTCTGTTTACAATTTTAATAGATTTATGTTTTAGACACTGGGCAAAAGGTGTAAACAGGGAAGAAATCCCATAAATTAATAAAAGAAAAATAGTTCAACTATATATACTATATATACAAATATATATATATACTACATATACAAAATACTGTCAAGCATACAAGTTTAAATTGGAAAAGGTAACTGAAAATGAAGAATCTTTAAGAGCTACTGCATAGCCAGCATAAGAGCCAAAGTCACCACAGGTTTTACAGGAATGAACATTACTTAAATACGGTCAGTGGCTCCTTGGTTTGTGAGTGTAGTTAGGTAGGAATCTTGTGAATTATTTTGATTGTATCCTGCCCATTCTACCAATACAATAATCTTCTGAAGTATCACTTTGGTTGCTAAGATTGGTACCATGATCACTAATACAAGGCACTGGTTGTGCTGGCTGATCTCTGCTTTTACTGATTTCAGACATTTGCAGCACCAGTCTCCAAATCAGGCCATACTGCTGGAACTCAACATACAAACTGGGACAGAAATGCAGGTGTGATGTGGAGTTCCACCTTTTCAGGGTTGAATCAGCTTGCATCTCTAGGGGAACACAGCTGCTCCACTTAGCTCAGTTACACAATCAAGTGTGTGGCAGCACAACACACCAAGCTCAGAAAAGGCTGGAAAACCCAACTGAGCTGCTCAATAACTAACGGATGCTTGATACCAAACTTCTTAACATTTCTAAACATTTTATAGCTCATAAACCCAGCAAAACTGGCTTTCAGGCATAATTACAGCTGATGGAGGCACAGGAAAGTACCCAAAGAGCCAACACCTTACCTTTGCTGTTTCATTTTCCAGAGACAGGTTTAGAACGATGATCAATGTCCTGGGGGACGCGCTGGCTGCTGGGATCATGGCCCACATCTGCCGGAAGGAGTTCATCAAGGATGGTGACGAGGTAACCGCACTGTGAGCCAGGGTGTGCTGTTCCATGGCATAGAGCCTGTGAGCTCCCACATCTGGTTTCTCCAGTTTACAAAAGGTGTTTCAGAGAGAGGACAGAATTGGGCAATTGGCAGCTGAATTATGGAGAGGCAAAGGTATCCATGCGTGTGTATATGCATAATCAATGAGCTCACATCAAAAGCAACTACCCTGGGCATTGCAAGCCCCTGAGTCAGTATAATCTAAGCTACCCTTAAAACAATTTTCTTTCCAGACTAGCACAAGCACATGACTCCATTCTAGACTTCATTCTCAGACATCTTCATGTTTTCTACATTTAATAGAAGCCCTTCTTTACAGCTTTGCTTTTCCTCCTCTGTATCTTATTTCATACAGCACACATATCTCTGTATTCTGCCCCTGCCTCCTTCCACTCCTATGCATTTTTCCTTCCTCTTTGGCATGCATAATTCAGTCTTTCCTTGTAACAGGAACTCCTCACATTCTTCCTTCAATCCTTGACAAAGGAGATTCCTAATTCCATGAGCCCATCAGATTTGGAGGAGCTAATTTCCAACTATTTTAGCTCATTGCAGACTTTCATTACCTTTCTTCCACAAAGGTAGAATAGTTCATGCAGGAACATTTCTTCATCAGGACTAATCTTCACAATACAAGTTTTATTTCTGTGCATCATCTGTAGTGTTCCACACAAATAACAAAGTTTTGTTTCTATCATTATTTCTTCCATTCTACAATTTTGTGGTCAATCCCATTGATTGGGATCCCCTTCCTAAAACTTTCATTTAAAATTCCTGCTCTTTGAAGTAGCATGTAAAAAGACAGATAGTGTCCTCTGAGGCAATTAGCACCTGCAGTAATTACTGATGAGAGGATTAGGCCTGACTATAGGGGCTACACATGCAGCTACCTACAAACCCCCTAAAATACGACCTATGGGCAAGGTAGGTCATCCGTTACAAAGCCAGAAGTGTAGGCTGAGCTCCTGCATAACACAGGACTCCTGACATTTCACTGCTGTATTTAGAACTCAGTCAGAACTTAAGAAGAGATGCTGCAGTAATATGAAATCCCTCCTGAGGGATTATTTAGTCATCTGCGATGAGATTTTTCTTTGAATCATGCTCTGTAATGGTATTAAAATATACCATTAGTCTGCCATATATTTTGGCTGCATAATTTGTGCAGTTAGTAATATATACCCAAAGGCCTTATTTTCTCAGCTGCAAGCCCACCTCCTTTCTTTGCCAGTATTTACGTCTTACTTTCCCCATCAGAATCTGGTTTGATTTAAAGAACACTTCCACATTTAACTTGTGAATCAGTTAATAAAATCCCCTTTATTTCCTTCAAAAGAGACAAAACTGAAGAGACAGGAGTTGTTTTACTGGGTTAGAAGAAAGGCATAAGGCAACAACAAATGGTTGTTGGTGTATTTAATTGCACCCAAGAGCAAGCACTGTCCAGAGCTCAGCACAGTGGCCATTGAGAGTCTGTACCTTTTGAAGTGAGCTCTGGAATTCTGGTCTCTGTTTACCCTACTTGTATCATTCTACCAATGGGAAGCAGCTGTTACCATGAGTGTAAGTTCAATTAGAGTTGTGACAGAATTTGCATTTTTACAGAGACTCCTTTACTTCATGCCTTAGTGTATATGAGAAACAGCTTCTGGAAGTCCATGGGGGCTCTATATAATCCTGCTGAATTTAAAGCAGCCCACAGGCTTTCCAAGTAAAAATTCCCTTCCTGTTGTATACAGCAATCAGTGGCAGTATTCCAGATCTTAATGCTTTTCACATAGGTGCCATTGATCTGTGAAACTAAGCCTATTAACATCCATCAGATTGTGGCTTACCAGAGGAATGGCTGTGTGAAGACCATGAATGAATCTCGTGGACCAGAAACAGTGAAAGAGCTGCAGCACCATATACCCATACAAGTGGAGCAAGAAGAAACTCCAGTGGAGAATCACACTAAGAAATCCAACAGTAAAGACCACTGCACTATTGAAATAAATGAACTAGAAACAAATGTGTGACTGCTACACTCAGAGGTATCTCACACCCCAGTGACCTGACGCCCAATCTCTACCTCACAGCTGGAAGAAGGACTCTCTGCCTTGAACAGGAAAATGTGGATTTATCGCCACCCTGCTTGTACTGGAGCTAGGAGACCAGCTGTGAACGTCACGAAAGGCACACAGCTTGCAAGAGACATGGGCTTCTTTAGGTGGAAGATTTTACTACTGAAAAATTAACTAATGGACTGCTACTGTTTTATTCTGCACTCACTGACTTCAATATAGTATTTGACACTCCTTTGGCTTCCTTTTTTTTAAAAGCTTTTTTTTTATTTGACCCTTTTTGATTTTCTAACCAAAGCCTTTTTTTGTGAATCTCGGTAATTACCAACACTGTAGAATTTTTGCTATGTGAAAATGTTCCACCAAAATTGCTACAGATACTAATTTTATCTCATACTCACTAAATGTAGAGTTTGTGCTTAGTTTTAGAACAGCAGTAAGAAAATCACACTGATTTCCTGATCTCAAGGTGTTACATCTATTCCTAAATAACAGTGCAAGCACAGGGGAAGTGAAGTGTGCATTTGTGAAAGAAAGGTCATTAAAGGAACTGTGACAGACAGCTTTCAGAGACAGGCAGTCAAGTGTGATACCTAACACAAAGATTTCCTAGGTCACTGCAGAGCACAGTTTGCCTTCCAAGTGCCAGATTTATTAACCTTTTTTTAACCTAACTCTTCAGTAAAGTCAGTTCCATGCACATGCAGTGGCAGAGGCGATGTGAGCTCTAATCCATAAGCACTGGTGCTAATGTATCCTTTCCTGTAACCTATAGGTTGTTCTACTGTAAATATATGTTCTACTGTGTAAACTCAAAGCTCAAGCTCGTGAATGATGTGCTGCGTCCAAAGGGCAGACTGAACACAAAGTGGGACCTGACCATGCTGAGTTAAAATGGGGTTTTGTGAGGAGTTTGCTGTGGAAACTGCCCCATTATTTCTCATAATTCAGTTGACAGACACTCCCTTTCCACTGTCTACTGAATCTTTCATTTACAGTAAAATCTGCTGCATATGTTTCCAATGTTTGTGATAGAGAACATTTTTAATAAACCTGCCATTTAAAAACAGGCTGTCTGTGCACTTCTGCTATTAGTGTCTTCTTATGTCTCTGCTAAAATAGAGAGTGGAAGCGAGGAGACCTTTTGAAAATTTGGGATTTGATCCAGAAATTACATACCAGCTCATACCAATACACTTGATATATTATATTTAGCTACTTGTGGCATAGCAGTTTGAGATACCATGTGCCTGGTATGCTAACATGCTCTTCTCATCTGTAAGGGAAAAATAACCCAGTCAAAAAGGACAATTTCTGCATTAACCAGAAGGAGAAGTGTTTCATGCATTAGTTCATTGCATATTCAGTGTATCATTCATTCATGATTAGTGGTTTTCCTGGGATGTACACATTCACCTCTTCTTTAAGGGCTCCTGTTCAGACTATTTCTTATATCATGCACTGAATAGTTGCTCAGAACACTGTAGTATAGGTAGTTTAATTACCAAGCAGTAAAGCCAGAAAGAACACATATAGGTCTTCTTTGTAGTAGAAATTATGCATTATTTTGTAAATATGTACAGTTAGTAACTGTTTTCCTGATTTGACCCTAGAGTGAAAACAACAAACTCAGAACACAAATAGGGAAGAACTGAAATGATTCAGAGCAGTTTGCTCCAGAACAAGTGCAGTAAAGGATCTGCTCTGCAGAGTGTCACAAGAATGAATGACTGGGGAGAGCTGAGGATGGTCTGTGCCCCTCTGAATGGGCAGAAGCACTGACTGACAAACACATCTGATCCTGTTCATCTCAGCAGCACTGCAGCTCCTGGAGGTCCCCTCATCCCTCCCTCCATTCCTGCCTGCACTGCCTCCCCTCCTCTCCCAGCTGTACAGACCCAGTTATTTATGAGGCCAGACAAAGAACCAGATGAGAAGTATTTTTAATTCAAACCAGTTCACATATGTTTTTAGCACAGTCCTGTACAGACAGTTGTGTCAACACAAGTGAAGGGGTGATGCAGGGACAAGATCAAGAAGCCAGGGATGAAACAGGGTAAGGCACGTGGACCAGGCAGGGTCTCTGTGTGCCAACTGTGCCCACAAAGGAAACACAACCGAAAGTTTCAACTTCACCCAGTCAATTACAGCTACATGAAGTGATAGTATAATTCTGTCAGTCATCTATCAGTTTTTACAAGCACTTTGCATAGATAAAAAAGAAGAAGAAAGATGCCAAGTGGATCCAAGATTTGGAACAAGTAGTCCCAGGCTAAGTGGTTTAGGAGAGTCTGCCCACACACCATGCCACTGTGCCAAGCAGAAAGTGCTCCCAGCCTTACCACCACCTTCTAGCACAGCCACCTACAACCTTTGGCTAACTACAAGTGCAAATCCTTTTGTCCCTTTCCTGAGACAGCTTACTTGGTGTGACACTTCTCAGTGCAGTCATGGCTCAAGAGGTCTAAGTCAACTCTTGTGCTTAAGCAGCTCCCAGAAGGAGAACTTCAAACGAAATAAAGCACCAAAGAGCAGCAGTCAGTTATGCTTCTCAAGTCCTGCACAACAAAGAAAACCACGATTTTGCCCATTATGCTCTCACATGCAGGTAATGCGGGAGTCTCATGTTTGAAGGCATATTTTTATGGAATCAACAGGCTGGTTTAAAATCAGCTTTCTGCATTCAAACGCTACTTAAAGAGTGTCCAGTTCTGCTTTGCAAATTGGAAATGCATTATGTCTTTAACATCTTACTGTTTGGATTTTTAAAACTTGGGGTTTATAGCAATCTGTGCCTCCCATTTAGCTGGGAGAAAGGCAGTGGTCCTGTTTCTCACCTGGCCTTTTCCATTTGTGGTATGAAATGCTGTAACTAGAGGCCTAAGGCACTTTGGGTCTTGGTTCTGGTAAATATGTGTTGCCTGGTGTATTGTGTCCTTGACTGGGGCACCTGACTGCTACTGCAGTCGTTCTGTACTGAACACAAGACAGCACTGTTAGCTGGGAGAGGTGAACACTGATGCTATGATAGTTTCTGATCATTTCTATGCTAAGTTTTCCTCCTGTTAGCTATTTTCTGTGTCTTGTGGTGTGTGTTGTCAAGCAGCTTGATGCATAGTGAAAGTATACTAGCAGTAGGTTCCACAAGATATTTGTATGCATGGGTCTGTTCACATTTTCCAGTTATAATCACACTTCCTTCCAACAAAAATAACAAAGCTGTTGATTATGAAGTTAAAGTGCAAGCTTTATTTTGGTAAATATGTTTCTCCTACTTTCAGAGCATAAAAACAAACATGTGACCTTTACAGTCTCATAAAATTTATATTAAAAAATCAATCGACCACTCAATCACTTATTACAACAGTTTGCATGGTATCATTTCAAGCATATGTGGAAAGAACATATTTCTTAACTGGCAACGTTCAATCCTATTTTGAAGTTGCCTCCCCCTGCCAAACAAAAAGGGAATGTGGCCAATTAAAGTTTTCTAAAGGCACACTGGGGAAGAGTCTTGAGGAGGGAAAGAAGATAATTAAGAAGGGTGGTCCACTGCATACAGCTATAGAAAAAGAATTTGGGAAGTAACCCAAATTAGCACATATTTATCAGAAGCAGTGGTTTTATGCTTGTTAACTTGAAACTCCTTTTCTCTGATGATAATACTGAGAAGGAAAGAAGCCACTGCAGATTATTGTGGCATAAAACATCATTAAAGACATATTAAAACAGGTTCTTGAGGATTTTGCCAATGCCAAGGAAGTTCTGCAGCATTGAATTGCTGTAATAAATCCTCGTGCAACAATTAGAACTGAGAGAAAGAGATACAACCAGAGCACTTACGTATCTCACTAATTCCCAAGAGCTTTTGGCTGCCAACCCAAATACAGAAGTTTATGGAACTAATAGTTATTCATATGCTCTGCTAGTCTTAATTGACTCTACTTAAATTATTTAATTGCACCTATTTGTGACAGTTGAATATGAATCCTAACATACAAATATGATTATCTAAATAGTCAAAACACTAAATTGGAGTTGCCCACCCTGCTATACTAGCAATTCTATGGCACCTAGAAAAGACAGGAACTCTGTAACACCCCATTTGATTTGATGAGGTCTCGCTTTCAATTCTACAACAAACATCAATTTTAGTCTCTTTTTAACAACAGCAAACTGATTCATAATACTTTCAAAGCAGACAGAAAGCTTCATCTTCAAGCCAGATGGATAATCTTGGAAATGACCTCAGTCCTTTCTGTGCTTTCCATAAAAATGAGGTAACTATTAGCAGAAGGTGGTTATTGTGTGTGAGTAAAATGTGTAACCTGGGAGATGAAGTGAATGTGGAAAACTCAGGCTGCCTTTGATCTTGCCCAACACTAAGCACACCGTGTCTGTGCCTCTGCTGAGCACCCAGGTGTGTTTTCCCAGCAAGAGCAGCTCTGTCACTACAGCCACAGAGACAATGAGCAATTGCTTGCTTTCCCCTGCTGGCACTAAAGCTGAGATCACAGCCCTCCCCACCTGAAGACTAAGTACAGGGAGGAGAGAAAATAATGAAGGTTTTTCTACAGTGATGCTACTGTTGCCTACCTTGCAGTGGGAGAGCACAGCTTTTTGCAGTAATAAATATCTGGCTTTGCTGCATTTGGAAAAGGGGCCCCAAAACAGACAAATTTAATGCACTCATTCACTAAGGACTGAGCTGAAACACATGTATTGAACTTCTCAGTTTAGCCTGTGATTTCACCTACAACAGAGATGAGAGACACTCAAAATTACATTCCTCACTAACTACTCTGGAGCATACTGATTGATATTCCTGGAATTTGTAAGAGGGTTTGTCCCACAAAACCCCAAATGGATTAGATCAATAGAACAGGAAGGGTGGTCACTACTTAAGGTCAGGTTCGTTATTCACTCAGACTTCCAAGTGACCACAAGAATGCAGA